GAGAATTTCAACCTAAAGAAAATCACAACCCAAAGACTTACTCGTTGAACTTAACCCAAACCTTATTTGCACAAGCAGTCGATTCACCAAGAAAAAATTTCAAACTTTATGTATCAAGAGACTAATATTCCTATTATTCATCACACTAATTGTAATCCACAGAAACAGAAGTGAGCTAACACTAGTTGTAGCACAAACTCAAACACCCAACAGAACCACACAATACGCAAGAATTCCAAACTCCAAGGTCATGAAATGGGAAAAAGGAGAGTAACACTGTAGCTTCAAACTGGAGATGCCTCAATAAACTCTCTGTTGATGAATGAGAGCAAAAATTTTAGAAAACAAATCTGTTTTGAAGAAAAAGAGAGTTGGATAGAGATCAGAACCTCTAGGACAGGTCTTTTAGGGCTGAACAACGCTCTTGGATTTTCCGGCCCTAAGCCTTTCTCGCGGTGGCAGCTTGAGTGTGGACGCAGGTCTTTTAGGGCTTGTATCAAATTTAGGCTTTTTGTTTTTTGTATCTGTATTAGGACTTTAACTTTTTCTTTCTGTTTTTCCTTGGGACGCTTTGTCTCTGTTTTGTGAAAACAAGGCGCGAAAAAGTTAGAAGTGGGAAAATAGGGAGGGAAAGTAAACCGACCCAGTTGCCCTTTTTTTTAAAGAACCGTTGCCAAAAATGACTCTGTTGCAACGGATTAAGACACCGTCACAATACGTCAATCTATAGCGACGGTTTTTGTCCTAATGCAACGGTTTGTTTTACTACCTATCTTAGTAGGTCTGAGAAGATTATGCGACGGTGGTAACCGTTGCCATAGGTATTTTATTGCAACGTTTGAGTAACCGTTGCTAAAATACTGTTGCCATAGGTCTATTTTCTAGTAGTGTACACAGGCAGTTATTCCCGCCAAAGTAGAAATTCCTTCCTTAAGGATCATACAAAAAGCTGAGCTCGACGACGCAGAATGGGTGCGAAGCCGCTACAAACAACTGGCTCTTATAGATGGGAAGAGAATAAATGCAGTTTGCCACGGTCAGCTTTATCAGAATAGAATGTCCAGAGCCTTCAACAATAGAGTCAAATCAAGATGGTTCACACTGGGGCAGCTAGGGTTAAAGAAAATTTTCTCGCATCAAGATGAGGCCAAAGGGAAATTCTCTCCCAACTGGCAGGGTCCATACATGGTTCATCGAGTTCTGCCCTTATACTTGCAGAAATGGATGGAGAAGTCTGGCCAAAGCCAATCAATTCAGATGCAGTCAAGCGCTACTATGTGTAATCTTATGTTTTCTTATATGATGTAATTTTGAACTACGTCTGACCTGATTCTCGTTTAAGAGGGGATACGTAGGCAGCCTTATAGGTTCGGTCATCAATAAAATTTTCATTTCCCCCCGCAATTGGAAACCCTCAAAATTCTGAAGTAACTTCAACCAGTCATTGCAAGCAACCGTTAGAAGCAGCAACCCATTAAACTGGGGCAGAATTTTGAGAAGGACCCTCAAAATTCTGAAGCAAGAGAGGTTGCAATGTCCTGAACCTTGTCACAGTCGTCGGTTCATCTAAAAACTATTTCTTAAATATATACTTATGTCATATCATTAACAAACTCACGCATGTTTATTATCGAAATTGCTTTGTTCAGCAACGCTACCCCTATGATACATACCGTGTCATCAGATCAAAGCTGAACAGGGCCAGCAAAGTCAGCGGGGACACGAACTAACTTTTTCCCTTTACAAAACTCACGATTTTTCTTTGGATGCAGGCACCCAACTCACAAAATCATATATTATACACTCACACTGTTCAAGGATACAACTCTCAGAACCGTCACACCTATTCACAGTTGCTATCCACACACAATGTCCCCAGCAGCCATAATATCACAATCAGCTATCAGCTATCAGCTAAGAAATTTTTTATTACTATTCTCCTTTTATCTCTTGCATAAGGCTACCATTCTGCCTTCCGAGACTAAGCATTGTCTCCATCTGCATTTCCTGCATTGCATAAGGCTACCATTCTGCCTTCCGAGGTTAAGCTCTACCTCCATCTGCATTTCCTGCATTGCATAAGGCTACCATTCTGCCTTCCGAGACTAAGCACTGTCTCCATCTGCATTTCTGCATTGCATAAGGCTACCATTCTGCCTTCCGAGGTTAAGCTCTACCTCCATCTGCATTTCCTGCATTGCATAAGGCTACCATTCTGCCTTCCGAGACTAAGCACTGTCTCCATCTGCATTTCCTGCATTGCATAAGGCTACCATTCTGCCTTCCGAGACTAAGCATGTCTCCATCTGCATTTCTGCATTGCATAATCCTGCATTGCATAAGGCTNAATCTTATGTTTTCTTATATGATGTAATTTTGAACTACGTCTGACCTGATTCTCGTTTAAGAGGGGATACGTAGGCAGCCTTATAGGTTCGGTCACAATTCAATAAAATTTTCTCTCCCCCCCCCTCCCCCCCGCAATTGGAAAGTGGGACAGAATTTTGAGGAGGACCCTCAAAATTCCGAAGTAACTTCAGCCGATCATCGCAAGCAACCGTCAGAAGCAGCAACCCAGTAAACTGGGGCTGAATTTTGAGGAGGACCCTCAAAATTCCGAAGCGAGAGAGGTTGCAAAGTCCTGAACCACGTCACAGTCGTCGGTTCATCTAGAAAAAATTGTTTTTTAAATATATACTCATGTCATATTTTTACAAACTCATGCATGTTTTTGCTTTGTTCAGCAACGCTACCCCAATGATACACACCATATCATCAGATCAAAGCGAACAGGTCAAGCAAAGTCAGCGGGGACACGAACTAACCTTTCCCCTTTACAGAACTCACGATTTTTCTTTGGATGCAGGCACCCAAGTCATAAAATCATCAAATATATTATACATTCATATTGTTCAGGAATACAACTCTCAGAACCGTCACACCTATTCACAGTTGCTATCTGCACGCGATATCCCCAGCAGCCACAATATCACAATCAGCTATCAGCTATCAGCTAAGAAATGTTATTACTATGCACCTTTTTATCATTGCATAAGGCTACCATTCTGCCTTCCGAGACTAAGAATTGTCTCTATCTGCATTTCTGCATTGCATAAGGCTACCATTCTGCCTTCCGAGACTAAGTACTGTCTCCATCAGCATTCTTGCATTGCATAAGTCTACCATTCCTCCTTCCGAGACTAAGCACTGTCTCCATCTGCATTCTTGCATTGCATAAGGCTACCGTTCTGCCTTCCAAGAATAAGCACTGTCTCCATCTGCATTCTTGCATTGCATAAGGCTACCATTCTGCCTTCCGAGACTAAGCACTATCTCCATCTGCATTTCTGCATTGCATAAGGCTACCGTTCTGCCTTCCGAGGTTAAGCTCTACCTCCATCTGCATGGCTGAAATATTGCCACCTTTATTTACATCTTGCATGGCTGAAATATCGCCACTTTATTTACTTCTTGCATTGGCTGAAACATCGCCACTTTATCGGTCGAAAGATTGCCACCTTTACTTACATCTTGCATCGGCTGAAAGATCACCACCTTTACGTACATCTTTCATCGGCTGAAATATCGCCACCTTTACTTGCATCTTGCATCGGTTGAAAGATCGCCCCTTTATTTACATCTTGCATCGGCTGAAAGATTGCCACCTACTGCATCTCATGGGCTGAAAAATCGCCAAACTGTCCAAAGGCGTCATTGTTCGGAGGCACCATTTCCATAGCTCGAGAACGTCATGCCATGGCCCGAGGACCCCTTTTAATCTCTTGCATATCATTATTCAAAGGCATCGTAGTTCGGAGGCATCATTCTCATAGACTGAGAGCATCATTTCATAGCCTGCGAATCCTTTATTATACTCTTCATGGCCCAGGAAATCATGGTCTAAGGACGTCATCTTAACCGTCCAAAGACAACATTCATGGTCCGACGGGAACTTGCATCATGTTTAAATTTATGCACAATATACGCTTGTATTGCTTATTCGCAGGTAAACCGGCGAGCAACGTCCATCTCGGCAGGAGCATTCCGCTCTAGTTCCCGCAGCCCTACTAAACCTTGACCACTCATCCCAACCTAATTCTTGTAAGACCAGGGATATGTAGGCAGCTCAGGAACCAGAGCACGGTC